AAAAAGTGATATTTTCACACTGTTCACAATACGCAAAGACGGAATAGCGAGTCAAACATTTCACTCTCCATGTGATTATGACGTCACAATTTCTTGTCGGAACACATGCACTGCCTCAGGAAACAGTGTATGTTCTCAAAATTTAAAACAGGCTTACTTTAATATACTGTTGTGATACATACCAAAATATGTTATAACTTGTAATATACGTTTACTAGAGTTATAACACGTAGGTTATTACTACTGCAGTTTAACGTGTACACGTGCTATACGAGAGGTAAACATGTACTTACATATATCGGTGTTTCCTGCTGTGGCCCACTCCACACACTTTTGTACGGATGGGTCGGTTGGAGTCGGAGTAGACTTATCCCCACCCCCTACGACCGCATCACTGCTTGGGTTCCCCGACCCCCAGTTACAGTTACACTCGAATTGGCGGGCAGCGCCCGAAAAATGTACGATCAGCCCGACCCCCACGGCCAGGCATGCCGCTAGCAGGGTCAGGATAAACCCCGTGGTGGTTGTTACAAAACAACCGCCCCTTTTGGTTGTGTTTGGAAGTTCTGAATTGCTGGCGTATTTCCCCATATCTTGAAATTCGTACGATTCGTTTTTTCCCATATCAGTTCACAGGTATAGGTAATGCCTGTTCCGAGTATCCAGCATCACATGTAATGTTCCAACAAAAAGTTCACCTATCATACGTGTAACTGTATCCAAAAAAACAAATGTTGTCACTAGTCCCCGTAATAAAGAGGAAACTTCCAGTAAGTTATAACAACGGGTCAAGGTTATACCCGGGATCCCGAGCACAGATGGAATGCCGGTAACGAAGGAAATCCGAAAGGCCTCCTCGCTATATCCGCAGGTCTATGTATCAGTCCTGGAAACTCAGGTCTCAAAGGAAGTAAAACAATCACCAGCAGAAAATCCGGGCATAGAATTGCAAAATGTGATTGGATAGCTATCCTAAACACAATTCCCAAAGACTGCAAAAACTATAGTCAAGCCGAAACACACAACTACAATCGGGAAATTAATAGAATAAAAACAAGTATAAAAATAAATCACGCTAAAAGCGAGATTAAGTGTTTCCGACCGTCACATAAAACCCTTCTAGCTGTCAGATTTAAACTAAAACTAGATTGATTCAGATTCAATTGAAATCCGTATGGTTTCAATTCCGAGTTGATGTCGGGAAAGCCTAGCGAGTGTATAGCCTGCTCCCCTGTAGGCGCGGTGTTAGACTGTGTGTGAACGGTGTGCTAGTGTGGTGTACTGACGGGTCGTCAGTCACGGATCACTACAACAGGTCCTACTTCTTACCGCGGAGTCATAACCCACTCACTACGTATCTGACAGGTATTACTACTTACCGCGGAGTCACAATTCACTG